CCCCCCCCCCTCCGAAACACTGCAATACAGTGAGTGAACAACAACCTCTAGTGGACAATAGTAACACTACAAGACAAAGAATTGAGAAACTGGAATCATCCGTTAATGGGGGGATTAATATTCTAATCTAATAAACTTTCAGTCGTCAACGAATCTTAAATGATGTGTTTAATTTCTGGGTTCTGGTCTGGTATACCTCTGTGGACCCTCAGGTAACTGGTCCAAGGCTTCGGGCCCTCAGGGGACAGAGAGGAGCAGCAGGAGCTCCAGTGGAGGATCAGGGCATCATGGGAGGAAGATGCAGGAGCAGCTGGAGCAGAACATCATCAGCTTTGAGCACATCTACAAACCTCAGGTCTCCCAGATACCAACCGCCACTCTCACCAACCCGACCAACCACCCATCCACACCTTCAGTCCTCCCTCAGAGATGCCCTTCAACTGAGGAAAACCTCAGGACCAGACGGCGTCCCTTAGAGGACTCATGCAGACCAGCTCTGAGGTCCTCAGCTACGTCTATAACCTGAGCCTCCGCCTGCAGATGGCCCCCTCCCTGTGGGGTACCAGTCCCCAACACGCCGCATGCCAAGGCACTGGCCCCCTTTAGACCAGTCACCCTGACCTCCCACCTGATGAAGACCACGAAGCGCCTCATCCTAGCTCCACCATGCTGAGCCCCGCCCTGGACCCACTGCAGATCTGTCCAGCATGGGAATAGAAGACACCATCTACCTGCTGCAGCAGGTGCTCGCCCACCTGCAGCGCAGTGAGACTCACGTTTCTACAAAAATGTATGTTATCATTTTATCATTTGACCCGCTAGGAATGAAGAAATCCCAGAGAAGGAAAAGTCATGTTCTCTCCAGCCTGTGAGGTTGCAGCTGACTGATCATCACCTGCAATAAAACTGTACAAGGAACTGTCATGCTCTATCATGTGTAAACCTCTGACCCCTGCTGGTAACCTCTGACCCCTCCTGGTAACCTCTGACCCCTCCTGGTAACCTCTGACCCCTCCTGTTATTCCTTTGAAGTCCAATAATAAAGCAGCAGAAAGGAGGTTTCTGCAGTGGAGTAGACTTTTCAAGGAGCCTCATCCTCGGTCTGTTGTCCTTCTCTTTTCTGCAGACAAGAAACTTTCTTTGTAAGGTTTTCCTTCCTAGGACATTAAGGGGTTATTATTATTAACCCTTCACATGTTGTTTAACTTTCAACACCATCAGAGCAGAGCTGCTGGAGGAGGAAGCTGGAGGGGACAGACATCGGGCTGCCTGGATCATCAACTACCATCATGAACTTTGAGGACTGGTGTAAAAGAACCACCTGTATCTGAACACCAGTAAGACCAGAGAGATGGTGATGGACTTCAGGAGACCCCCACCTCACTTCCCCGTGAACATCCAGGGGCAGGACATAGAAACCGTGGAGAGTTTCAAATCCCTGGGTGTTCACATCATTATTAGCCTGGACTCATAGCAGCGACGCCCTGCAGAAGGAGGCCCAGAGCCTC